CAATCCCCAGCACCACATGCCAGCCAGCCCCGCCCCCTGGTGGGCTGAGCTGGCCACACACACACACACACACACACACACATAAACAAATAAATAAATTAAAAAAAAAAAATTCTTTAAAAAAAAAAAAGACCCTATCTCAAAAACCTAAAAAAAAAGGAGGGTCAGGGCGATAGATCAGTAGAGTAAGTGATTGCCTGGCAAGCACAAGGGCCTGAGTTCAATCCCTGGTTCCACAAAAAAAAAAAAAAAAAGAAAAAGAAAAGAAAAGGAGAAGATAGAGCTGCTCTTAATTATGTTCACAGGCAAATCAAGAGAACCTATAAGCTATGACAATTCAGCAAGGTTGCTAAAATCAAGAGCAAGAAAACCTAATCAGCCGGATACGGTGGCCTGTTTCTGCACCTTAGTGACTCAGGAGGACCCTCAGTGTGAGGAAAGCAGGGACAATAAAAGTAAATGTAAGAAAATCAGGGCTGGGGAAATAGCTCAGCAGTGTAAGTGCCTGTATGCACAAGGTCCCGAGTTCAATCCCCCCAGTACCAAAAAAAAGAAAGAAAGAAAATCAGGGGCCAGGGAGATGGCTCAGTGGAATAAGTGCTTCCCTGGCAAGCGCAAGGGCCTGAGTTCAATCCCCGGTTCCACCAAAAAAAAAGAAAATCAGATCTACAACATTCCCATATGCTAGACAACTCATTAGTAAATGTAACAGAAAAAAAATTCATTCCTAAAAGTAATTTTAACAACAATCTAGGAATAAACTCCAAGTCTATGAATGACTTATAAAGATACTAGTTAGCTGGGATATAGTTCAAGTGGCACAGCACCTGCCTGGCACATGCAAGGTTCTGAGTTTGGTTCCCAGCACAGAGGAAAAAAAAAAGACATTATATATGTTCAGGGAATGAAAGACTCAATATTGTGGAGGTACTTCTCAAGTTAATGTAAGGAATTTAATGGCACTGCAATCAAATCACAAAGGATTTTTGTTTTCTTTTTGCAGTGCTGGAGACCGAATTGCCAGTGTTAGGCAAGCATTTTGCTACTGAGCTACAAACCCACTCTGATTTTGTCTTCCCAACATAAATATCTGTTGGAACAAACGAATAAACACAAATAAAGAAAAAAAATTAACATAAGTTGTGAAAACCTGACATGTTTTCCCCTTTAGAAAAAAGCAATCACAACAATGTTTTCATGTGATAACATGAGTGCTCATTATCAATAATTTTTGTTTGTTTGCTTGAGATAGCCTTTCGCTACATAGTCCAGGCTGACCTTGAATGTACAATGGTCCTTCTGCCTCAGGTTCAGTGCTGGAATGACAGGCATGTGCCACAACTCCAGACAATATCAGTTTTAATGAATGTGTAATATTCCAACACATGGATATGCTACAGTTCATTCAACTCATTAATTCTCTTGGACTGAACTATTAAACTAAGTTTCATTAAGTAAATGTTGGCACATATCCGTTTCTTTAGAACAAATGCTTGAAACAGAATTACCAGACATACCTGCATCCATTATTACCAATGGAATGTGAGAGCCCATGCCCCTGCAACTCTTGTCATGGTGGATTAAACTCTTTAACATTCTTTTTTTTTTTTTGGCGGGGGGGACAGGGTCTTGCTGTACAGTTCAGGCTGGCTGTCACAAACTCATGTATCCCAGGCTACCTCAGCCTCCCAAGTGCTGGGATCACATGGATGTGCCACCATACCCAGCCTGGGCTCCCATTTTCTTTTTCAGGTGCTTTTAGGAAACCGAAAGCAAATACTGCAGCTAGGAACACTCTCACCACCTACCTTTTCACACGCTCCTGCTCACCAGTGTCCAATGCTCTCAGAGTTCGGGCATAAAGGACAACGATGTCGCTGTGCTTGGCCTTCTTGTTGCACTAAAGATTCAATGGTACAAAATCAGTGTGACTGGGCCAGGGAAATGGCTCAGTAGAATAAGTGCTTGCCTGGCAAGCACAAGGGCCTGAGTTCAAACTCCCGGTTCCACCCAAAAAA